TGGTCAGTCCGAGCGGACCATTCAGACGCTTGAGGATATGCTTCGCGCTTTGGTTGTTGACAGGGGTGCTAAGTGGGAGTCGTTGTTGTCGTATGCTGAGTTCGCGTACAATAACAGCTATCATTCTTCTATTTAGATGGCTCCTTACGAGGCACTTTACGGTCGTAAGTGTCGTTCCCCTCTTTATTGGGACGACGTCGGAGAGCGACGAGTACTCTGTCCGAAGATAATCGAGGAGACAACAGAGCAGGTCGAGTTGATCCGGCAGAGACTCAAGACAGCTCAAAGTCGACAGAAATCTTCAGCCGATCATCATCGACGAGACATTCAGTTCGAGGTTGGCGAGCCAGCTTTCCTCAGAGTTCGTCCTATTCGCGGAGTTGTTCGATTCGGGAAGAAAGGGAAGCTGCACCCTCGATTCATTGGCCCGTTCAAAGTTCTCGAGCGAGTAGGCGAAGTCGCGTATCGATTAGCCTTAGCTCCCGAGCTATCAGGCATTCATAATGTTTTCAACGCATCTATGTTGCGTAAGTACGTGTGCGACCCCGATCACGTCATTCCTCATACATATATTCAGGTTCAGCCAGACTTATCGTACGAGGAGCGACCAGTAGCTGTACTGGACCGTCAGGTTCGTCGGCTCCGGAAGCGAGATGTCCCCCTCGTGCGTATTCAGTGGGATCTCCACAGAGCGACTTGGGAGGCAGAGGCCGATATTCGAGCTCGCTTTCCAGATTTTCAGTTTTGATGTACATATTTCCATGTTCTATGTACATATTTCATGTGTAATCAGTTATGTTTTGAATTTCCGAGGACAGAAATTTTTAAGGAGGGAGGATTGTAATATCCCGTCAGTTTATTAATATAAATCATGTTTTAGTTCCGATATAATAACGTTATCGATTATTATTTTCGGAATTAATTATTTCAGTCGAGATTACCCAAAATTATTTTCGACGTTCTGTTTCCGTTCAGAATAATTTTGGGAATTAAGCATTATGTTTAATTAAATAATTAAACATGATTCAGTGATTAATTGTCAATTAATCACGATTAGTCATTTAAAGCCGTATGATTGGTTCCATTAATTCCCAAAAGCCGTACTTAATTTTTCCAATTATTCTCACTTGATGTACCATTCTTCATGCTTGGGAAACCTTATTTTTTTTCCTCTCCCTTAAGTATGTGAACGTGGCATATGAGGAAAGATGATAGGATGACTCATCATTATTAGCCAATTAGCTTTAAGTAAGTGTCATGTTGTGGTTTGAACAACAAAACACCACATCACCATATTTCCTACGGCTTGGTGTATAAAAGGGGCATTTGAGATGGAAAATTTTTCCACAATTTAGCCCTTTATTCTCCCCTTAATAGTTATTAAATTCAGCAAGAGTGAAGAGAGCAATTTCTAGTTCAAAGCACGCAAGAAAGCTCAGCACTCGCACCGCACGCTGCACACCGCTGAGAGCTTCATCGCACGCACGGACGTAAGGCCAAACAACCCCGAGCAACAGTAGCGATCAGTCAAGAGGTCGAACAGGTAGCTTAAGGTTATCATATTTTTCAGTTATTAAGATCACTTCCTGGTTAATTGTTCGATCATGCTCGGGGGTTAGCATTGAGGTCGAGATGGTCGTGCGTATGGCCTAGGTTAATCATGTTCATGTGTGAATCACCAATTTTTTGAGTAGTTGCTATATAACAAGCCTTTTTATGTTATTTCATGATCATTCCTTCAATATTGTTCGAGAAAATGTTTGTAATTAAGTATTATTTTGGCCGATAGAAGTGGCCGTGCACATAGCGCGTGCCACCGGCCGTTCATGCTTAGTAAGTGTGTTAGGCTCAAGTCCTTCGAGAACTTTGTGTTATTTTATTCAGTAAATATTTTTCATGTTCAGTTGAGGTTGAATTGCCGAGAGGAAATGATGTTTGGTCGTAAAACGGCTTATCGCCGTCGGCGGCGCACAGTGCGCCCGCCGCGGCCGAGTTCAGCTTTTATGTAAAAATTCATGTTTTCAGGTTAACTCGGTATTTATATTCATGTCATGTTAGTTTAATTCATTTGAAATCAGATTGCCCGAGAGTAGTTGCTGGACGGCCGGCAAAGGCCGGCCGTGGCCGCGCTGACCGCACACAGCGGCAGCAGCGCATTGGAAGACAGCCCGCGCGACTG